TGTTCGAGTAGTTCTTTGTAAGTCCATTTCTTTCCTCCATTTTGACAATCAGACAAAGATGATTGCCATTGATCACTTATGCCTAGTCTTCGACAAAACTCCACTGTTTGACTATCAACATAGTAAATACAAAGGAAAGCTTCCGTGCCTACGCTATTCTCCGTGTTGTACAAGAGAGTAAGACCAGCATTTTCGACGATAGACAAGGCAATAATTATGATAATGCTCAGAATCATCGTCATTTATGCTTACTCGACGATTATGATAGAATGAGAGTTGACCAAATCTATGTAGTAAGGAATCACTCTCGATTTTATTTGACGCCTTCTTTTTATCTTCTCTCTTTAAATAATAACCAGAATCGGATTTTTTTCTCGTAGTATTCAGTATAATGATCACGTAGAAAGTAAAATACTGGTTACCAAACAGTAACTATCACGTCTGTGGTTTCATGATCATTCAAACACGTTCATTTTTTTACCATCACGCTTAGTATACTAAAATCATTCTGTCACGATCAGAATAGCAATGTAATAAGGAAAAATCACGTACATCTGCCGAAGGAACCTTCCTGGGCTTCTTTCTAGTCTTGGGTGTGAGTGTGGATGTGGGTGCGGGTGGGTGAGCTTGGGTGGATGGGTGTGAATGTGGGTGAGCTTGGGTGTGGGTGTGGATGTGAGTATGGGTGTGGGTGTGAGTAAGTGAGCTTGGGTGCATGGATGTGTGTGGGTGAGCTTGGGTGGATGGGTGTAGGTGTGCGTCTACGATTGATCCGATCACGCAGATACTCAGCGACACAGCCACACCCTAAACGGACACTCATCAGGAAGACTAGTTTCAGAAGTCGAATGGAACTAGTTCAGCTGTCGCTCAGTCAACTGGCAAGAGCTTCTATTCAATGGCTTGACTGTTCTTTAAAAATATCGAAGATTATATTATAATTATTCATAAAAACAACTCTGAATGTTGTACTATTCATTATTCGAAAAAGAACAAAAAGATGAAATAATTTTGCATATTCATCTTCAAAATGTGAAACTTATTACAATATTATATGACCAATATTAAAAAATATGATACAGATCCCAAATAAACTACTCTTCACATGAAATTATATCGAGTTATATTGTTTTTATTGATAAAAAAATTAAATGAAATGTTATTCTAATATCAATTGGTAGATAGCGCTAAAAATATCATTCAATTATGTCGAATTCTGTTATATTTCGTCCTGAAATTTGATTCTTGTTATGTGAAATCTAGTAACATATTCAATAGAATGTATGTCGAATACAATGATTGCTTGTCGTCGTATTTGTTGTTGTCGAAAACCAAAACCACGTCCTACTACTACAACAACAATAACCAATAATGAATCTTCATCATCACTGAAAGATAAAAAAGTTTCGAAGAATCAATTAATAAACGAAATCATGTCAACATCAAATTTTAAAGATAAAATTCAAAGTGACATTGATTTAGATCGTTTAACAAAGCAATATCTCGAAACAATAAATGAATATCGTTTTCAACTGGGATTTTCATCACTTGAGCTTTCTTCGGAACTTACTAATCGAGCACTTGATCGAGCGACACAATTATCGGTTCAAAATTATATAGAAAACACCACTCAATTTGATCTTATTCATAATAGTGAACCTATCGGAGAAACGTATGAAAAATTGAAACAATATTTTTACTATGTCTTTCAGTTTATAGAGTCATGTCTTGCCAAGCACCTGTCAATGATGGTTCGGCTATTGCTAGATTAATACATGATGAACTTATTGATGATTTTGAAAATAATCAATCGTCGAAAGTAAAGAAATGATTGATAGATCTACTGATATTTATTTTCTGTTTTCTTTCAGATACGTTACACACCAATATTAAATCCCGATTGTAAATATATTGGTTTTGGTCTAGTTCGTAATAAAGAACAAACAAAAGATTTTATTGTTATTTATTATTATCCAGTCAAAGAAAATGAAGATTATATTACAAAATAACTGATGTAAATCGTTCTACATAGAAATCAAATAGTTGAGATACAGAATCATTTGTTTTTTTAAATATTTGTCGTAAACATTGAAGTAAAGTTATATGTACAAGATGATATGAATAAGAAGCTGTATTTATTTTTGATTTCGTTGTTATATGACTTAAATCATAGAGAGACCAATTTGAAATATTTGGATGAATATAATATGGAAGCATATGTTGTAACGAGATAATTATTTGATTTATTAATTCAGATAAATATGGTTGATAATCAATTGTATTAGCATCGATTATATCGATTAAAGCATAAAGACATCCATTAAGAACAAAAAGACCTTTAGTTGCTGATTCTAATGGATATTCTTCAAGCCAAACAAAACGATTTTTAAAATAAGCTCGAGTTAGATTTGATGACCATAATGGTTGAATAGCTCGACGAATAGCTAATAAATGTTCGTTATTATTTGTTAGTGAATAAAGACGAACGAGTAATGATGCAGCTTGACCTAAATTTAGAAGAAAATATTAGCTGATACTTTTTATACCAACAAAATAAACCTTGTGCCATTGCTGAACACCATGGATTTCTTAAATGATAGTGATTATGATGAGCATAATTTCGTTGAACATGAATAAACCAACAACCTGTTTGTAAATCTTGATTATTTAATAACCATCGTGTTGCTGAATAAAAAGCTTGTTGATCAGATAAAGTTTGATTACCAATAATTAATTGATCAACACTAGATTGTGTATCACCACAAAGTTGAATTTTGATGAAATCATATCTGAAAACAAGTGTTTTTCTCATCAGTTTTTCTATATCAATTAGCATATATCGATTGACTTGACGAGGAGAACCCTTAAGTGGAATAATTTTCTTTGTTAAAGTCTCTAAATCATGAATTGTTTTCGTTGAATAAACAAGTTCAATATTATTATTGAAAAAATGAAAATGTAATGAAGAATTGGATGAAATTGTAAAATAAATATATGTGTTTGAAAGAGATATTTCATCTTTTATTCTATGCCATGATGAACAATGATTATTTTCCTCTAGATAAAGACACTAGTACATTTCAAATATAAAGTCATAAAACCTCACTTGGCTGTAGTCGTTCGAATTTATATATTTTATTTTGTTGATTTTTTGAATTCAGTTCTAATCGACTCCAATGACTCAAACCATACTGAGCAATTTGTATTGGATAAAGATGTGCATCCGGTTGCCATTGAGACGAAACAGGTATATTTAAAACTTTATAGTAAAAACTTCAATTGATACTGTATACGAAAACCTACCATATAAAAAATCAATGTATAATACTCGATTACGTTGTTCAACATTGAAATAAGCAAAATTAAGATATGATCCACGAAGATTATATATAAAAGATGATGAAAGTATACGATAAGTGTAGTTTTGATAATGAATGAGCTATTCGAAGTGGAAATAGAAAGATCACTAATGAATGATTACTTACTGTGAAAGGTGATTGTGAGTATAATGATATAGGATTTATGTTATATGTTCGATAAAATAGAAATAAAGAAATACTTAAGAATACGATATAGTTTAATCAACGAAAACGACATCGCATATCTAAGAAATAAAATCAACTTTTAGCAATTTTCAAAGGCTTTGAATTATCTTTAAACTAAAAAATGATTTATTCAGTATATTGTTATTAGAAAAGCAACTTTTTTTTCCAGAAGGATATTTAATAGTTATGTTCAATTTTAATTACAAAGTTAGCATATTTACGCATAAAATCTATGAGAAACAAAAAAAAGTGTAATTTACAAGAATAAAAAAAGGAACAAGAAAATCTATAGAAATATCAAACTTAAAAAATGTATTAATAAGAAAAGAAATCTATTCTATTTGATGATATTTGTCTAAAGCATATTGATATAGTTCAGAACATTGTTGAGTTCGTAATGGTTTCCAATGTTCATATAAATTTTCATCAGAATATTCTTTATATAAACGTTTTAACTTGTCTTTTTTCTTTTCCGATCTATCGATTGATGCACGACGATGTTTTGACGTTAATTGTTTTCTTTGAATGACTACTTTTGATTCTTTATTAGAAGATGTTATAAATTGTCGATCAGAGGATGATGATCGACTTTGACTTTGTGAAGATACAGATAAATTATGTTGTGGTTGTTCAATTTTAGTTGATGTTTCACTAGTATGATGTGATGAACGGGGTTTGAAAAAAGGATTAATATGAATTTTAATTGTATTGGCTGTTGGTTCTTGTGAATATAAGAAATCATGATTAAAAACTAGAAATCAAGAAAAAATAAATATTACGATTATAATTATTTGTTGAATAATTTAGAATTGATGTTGAGTTTGCATCATACTGGTAATTATAATAAAGTTGATCAGTAGTATATGCTGAAAACGTCGATGGTTCATAGTAATATTCATTAAAATATAGATTTGATAATGTAGATGATATATTCATGAAAAGATAAGATTAGGATATGAATAACAATCGATAGTTTCTTTACTATTCTCTTCAGATAGTAGATAGATAGCTATATGTACGCAGGGTATTTTTCTTTTAATTCAATAGATGACGCTGATTAGACTTTTGAATAACGTCAACAACAGTATAGTTGAATTAAATTCTATATTAAAATTCTTTCTACAAAAAAAAATGATCTTCGTTTACATGATAAAATTAGTCAAAAGAAAAAATATAAATTAATTAGGAACAGCTTCGATGATTGAAATTGGTGTTTGTGTATAATGTAATTGTTTTAGTTGAAAACCACCTTGTTTTAAAAGATATTCATATTGATATTGTGTACGTTCTTTTGCACCTAACATTACCATCATATGCATATCGATACTATGTGCAATATTATTAATATTTTTATTTTGTTCATTATATTAATTGCTCGATTATCATTCCAATCGTGAATAATATTTTTCATGATATAAGCACCAGCTTGTGGAATTGTCGTTGCATCAAACATATCTCCACTGATGAATTGATATCGATCTTTTGATATATTCTGTTTGTCAAATTCATTTCCAAGTTTTGCTTGTTGAATTGTTGTATATTTTTTGGATTTAATTCCCCAATAAAGTAAGTATCGAATTTTACTTGGATGATTCGATGTTAAAAGACGACCATGTTCAGTTAATTCGAAACGATTTGTTTTTTCTGGTTCGATTGTTTGATCAGACTTTACCATTACATTACAAAAATTCTATAATAAAGTTTCATTTTCGTTTTCTTCTGTCAGACATTTATTTTAGTTTCACATTGTTTAATATTATCTCTGAATTATATGTGTAAACTATTATTTATTCATATCTTTAATAGTGTACCATCATGTATGATTATGTGATCGATTTCTACCTTCGACTAGCACATGTAATTAAAAAAATTTCGTTGTTTTTTTTTAGATTCTTACTAATATAAAAAAAAGCTTCTACCAGTTAATAATTCGGTTAATATAAGAGTCAAGGATGGTTAATTTAAGAACCACTATAATCATTCTTTTTAAATATATATTTATACAACAAAATTATATTCACATAAAGTTTACTATCTATATAATAAAGTTGGTTTTATTGTTGAATCAAACGCTTTAAAAACTACTGTCACGAGCGAGTATCTACCATAAAGTTACTGATAATCACAACAGGATTCTCTATCATACTAATCAATACTATTGAGAGACAACATGTTGCAAGTCGTACTAGCGGCTACTTTCGCAATACATTCACATTTTCAATTTCTATCATATTTCGGCAAGTCTGTACTAGTAAAATTCAAATCGTTCCATTGTAACTCAAATACATGCAAGCACATCTACACCACAAAATCTTGAGAAATTCAGCAAAACCACAATACTTAAACTTGATTTAGCACTATCAGACCCTTTTGTCACTCGGAACGATCTTTCCCAATTTTGTTACTATGATAAAAACCTTTCTTAGATAAGTCTGACTGAAAAGAATCTTTTACAATCCCACTTACTGTTATACAGCATCTTAGCTTCATCATGCACGAGCTACAAACTAACAAAATAGTTCTGCAACCTTTCTTATTTTCAGAGCCGTAACATCACCAACAGCAAATATAAAAACATGCTAAGCAAACATTATAAGTGCAATACAGACTAGCTTTGAAAATAAGCACCTTTATTAATTAATTCTGTCAAAACTATAACACAAGAAAATACTCGCATGGTTAAAATTAGCGATTTCTTATGCATCCAAATAAGACTGAAATCACCATTCATCGTTTTCTTGCTCTTTCATTGTGTACGAGTAATTCGTCGATATCCCGCTGCACATCATCATTCTTGGTCCCTCTACGAAAGAGATTTAGTATGGTGAGTGTCTAGATGAAATATTCAAGGAAAATACATGGTATAGAAGAAGAGAGAATGAAAGTTACTGTGTTGTGCTGTAGTGCATCAGCCAAACATTTTGCTCCAACCTCTCCGATTGCATTATCGTACACATGTAGTTCCATTAGGGTCTAGATATAAAAGTGGAGATAATGATATGCCATAGATAGACAGATAATGAGAGTTACTGTGTTGTGCTTTAATGTATCAGCCAAATGTTGTGCTCCAACCTCTCCTATTTTATTCGATCGGAGATCTAGGGCAGTGAGTGTCTAGATGAAAAAATCGTGATAAAGACATGATAGATATAAAGAGAGAATGAGAGTTACCGAGTTGTGTCGTAATGCATCAGCCAAATACTGTGCTCCAATATCTCCGATTTTATTCGATTGGAGATCTAGTACAATGAGGGTCTAGATGTAAAAGTAGAAGTAATGACACGCCATAGGTAAAAAGAGAATGAGAGTTACTGTGTTATGTTGTAATGCATCAGCCAAATACTGTGCTCCAGTATCTCCGATTTTATTGTCACTGAGACTCAGTGTAGTAAGCGTCTAGATGTAAAAGTGGAGATAAAGACATGACATAGGTAAAAAGAGAATGAGAGTTACTGTGTTTTGTTGGAATGCATCAGCCAAATATTGTGCTCCACTGTCTCCTATTTCATTGACGTTGAGATATAGTGTAGTGAGTGTCTAGATATAAAAGTGGAGATCAAAACATGGCATAGATAAAGAGAG